GGCAGCCAGGGCTGTCGGTGGTGGGGGGGAGGCAGGGGCAGTTGTGGGGGGGCCACCTACAAGGTATGACATACCAAGTGCTAGGCTGGAGGAGAGGCACCTGACTGGGTGCAGGTGGGAGGTATGAAGTTCCAGGCTAAGGGGGCACTTACCTGTGGTTGCCTGCAGGTGGAAGGTACCAAGTGCTCAGACTAAAGGGTACCTGCCTGGGTACAGGTGGGAGGTACCACATGCCAGGCTTGGGTGCCAGGCTAAGGGGGCACCTGACAGGTGGGAGGTGCCAAGTGCTAGGGTGGAAAGAGTGCATGACTGGCTGAGCACAGGTGGGATAAAGTGCCAGGCTGGGGGGGTACTAGCCCCATGAACCCTTCCTTCCATCCCCCAGGTGGACCATGCTAAGTCGCTGCACTACATCGGGGCTGGCATTGCCTTCCCGGCAGGGCTGCTCTTTGTGTGCCTGCAGTGCGTGCTCACCTACCACATGGCTGCCTCCACCCTGGACCTGGGGGTCGCCCATGCCCGTGCCGCCCTCACCGCCCTCGCCTTAGTCACCCTTGTCCTCAGTATCCTTCTGCTGCAGGCACCAGGACTTAGGGCAGGTGGGAAGGATCCTGAATGCTCCCTGCAGGGGGGGCGGGAGTTGGGTCAGATCCAGGGCCTGGTGGGAGCAAATGCTGGGTCTGAGGCTTCCTTAGCTTGGTGCCAGGTGGGGCCTTCTTCATCCATGAGAGCCCGGTGCTGCAGCACGTGGCGGCGCTGTGCGAGTGGGCTTTTGTCCTGGCTATCCTCATCTTCTATGGCACACTAAGCTACGAGTTCGGGGCCGTGAGCAGTGAGACACTGGTGGCCGCCTTGCAGAGGGCTCACGCTCGTGGCTGCAAATCCCCTGGCAGCAGCAGTACCTCCACCCACCTCAACTGCAACCCCGAGAGCATTGCCATGATCTGAGAGTGGGGCGGGGCTTGGCCTGGCCTTGCCCCTGAGTGCCCTGGCCATGCCCCACTGCAGTGGCCCTGCCCCCTACCACTTTAGCTCCACCCCTACCCCACCCCCTTTTTTTGTTCTTTTGTACCAAAAAAAGGGTAATTTTTAAAGAGACCCAGCAGTATTATGGAATGCCCAGCCCCCTCCCTTGTCATGCCAGCTTCATGCCACCAGTGCCAACATGGTCCTAGGTCAGTTGGGGCTGGGAGGGGTAGAGATGAGCTTGGCTGGGGGTGAGGGCCATGCCAGCCAAGCAGTAGGGTGCAGTACCCTCCCTCCCTGATCTCCCAGGACACTTGCCCCATGGTTGTGCCATGAGGAGCTGATTCCCCCCTGGAGGCGCTTTTCCCCAGCCCCAGCTGCCTCCAGCTGCTGTCCAGCCCACAGCCATGGGGTGGGGGTTGCCCACCCCCTGCCAAATGGTCTGGAGCAGAGTTCTGGGGCTTGGGGATTTTTTTAGTCCTTTTTTATATCTCTATTGAAGGTGTATAAAGAAACTCAGATTGGCATAGGCCTGGCCTGGTCACTGTGTGGGGGTCCATGGCCTGGTGGCTATGGGGTGATCGGACAGCCCTGAGACCTGGTAGCTATGGGGATGGGACACAGGGCCCTGAGGCCTGGCACTATGCCAGGGAGCCTGGTTGTATGGGGAGGGGACAGGACCCTGAAGCCTGGTTGTTATGGGGGAGGGGGCAGCAGAGACCTAGTTGCTATGGGAGGGACTATGGCAAGACAGAACCCTTAATCTGGTTGCTATGGGGGGTGGGGGGAATGCCCTGAGGCCTGGTTGCTGTGGGGTAGACAGGAGTCCTAGCCATGCCACCCCCCACTCCCTGCCCCATTTGCCTGCCCAGGAATGACAGCATCCTCTGCTGGCTGACAGATAGGTTTAATGGGCACTGCTGGCTGCTGTCCCAGGGCTGGGCTGTGTCTTGTACCGTCACGTGTACATAGCCCCATGCAGGTACTCCAGGCGGTGCTCCCGCTGCTGCTGGCGCACCTACAACACATCAGTCTGGGGTACTACGGTGGGCAGACTTCCCCACCCATGCCCACCAGTGCCTCCAGGCCCACGCCAGCCACTTAAACCACCATCCCGGCACCTCCCCCCCCATTTAACCCCCCAGGGGCCTGGTATCCCCCGTATCCTGCTCACCTTGTCCTTCTTGTACTCCTCATACTCTGGGTTGTCTGTGGGCAGCTCATAACGGCACAGGGGGCAGGAGTTGGTCTATGGGGGGCACATCAAGGGCTCTGTGCCAGTACCAAGGGGGGCACAGCCTGGCCAGACCCTCCCCCATCCCCCTCCAGCTGCCCAGGGCTGGGTTACTGCTGGTGCCCCAAAAGCTGAGGGGCTGGGGGATGCCCCACGGCCCTGGCACTCACCTTGCCCAGCCAGGGCAGGAGACAGGCCGAGTGAAATAGGTGTTCGCAGGGCATTTTCCGGGCACACTCGTCCTCCTCGAACTCCAGCAGGCATACGGGGCACTTGAGCCCCTTGTCTGGAGGCCCCAGAAGGGCAGGGAGAAGCCATAAGTCCCATCTTGCACCCTCAAGCCCTGAAAAAAGTGCCCCTACCCTCCTCTACCGGACCCCTGGGTACCAGAGAACCTGGGCGTGGCAGCCCGGGCCGCCGGAGGTTTGGGAGGCACTACTGGGGGGAAGCTCGCAGCACGCACCAGCCTGGGCGGGGGTGACGCGCACGGCAGGCAGGTCCCGCACTACCCGGCGCGCCGCAGGCGGAGGCAGGCGCTGGTCCCAGTCCGCAGCGTCCAGCGAGCTCAGGTCCAGCTCCTGGCCCTGGAACAGCGTCCTGGAAAGGGGGGCGGAAGATGTGTCAGGGGCGGGCCCGATCCCGGCCAGGGCCTGGGGACCCGCCCCCGCGGAACTGGACCCCGCGCGGACCGGGCGAGCTGCAGCAGGGCGGGGCCGGGCGGGCCGGGCTCGCAGTCGTGCTCGTCGAAGTAGGACGCCATCGGGTTCGTCCCGTGCAGCCACTTCCGGGTTCGGTTCCGGCTGTGAGTCTTCGGCGCCCCCGGGGCCCGGCCGGCAGCGGTGGCAGCCAATAAGCTGGCAAGAAGGGCCCGCGGCAGCCAATTAGCGCCCAGGGGGCGGGTCGAGCCGCGATTGGCTGGAGCCCAGGCACATACCATGAGTTCAGAGCCAATGAGAATGCGCCGAAGGTAGCCAGCGGGGCAGCGATCATAGCACTATCACGGGGAAGCTCGCAGCCCCGTGGCACTGTTCTAGGGATGCTCGCAGATCTGGGACTTTGTTCTGGGGAAGCTCGCAGCCCCAGGACACAGTTTTAGGGAGGCTCGCAGCCCCACAGCACTGTTTTGAGGAAGCTTGCAGCTCCACAGCACTGTTCTGGGGAAGCTTACACACCTGCAGCACTGTTCTGGGGAAGCTCACAGCCCTGGGCTACTGTTCTGGGAAAGCTCGCAGCACTGGGGGATCCAACCCCCC